TTTGCCCATCTTCCAGGGCATTAGCTATCTCACCTAATTTTGCGTTATCTGAAAAGTTAGGCATTCCCTGCTCCTCCTCATCTGAAACATTGATGAAAATGCTGGAGACCACTAGGCTCAGAAATGAACCCTGTGGTACACACTTATTGCTTCTCCCCAGTTTGGAGAGGTGTCACTGATAAATACTCTTTGAGTTCTTGTCTGTGTTCTCACACAAGTGTCCTTCAAACAAAGTACCTTATATAAGAAAACAATGTAAGTGGTTACCAGGGATATGATTATGCCTTAAAGCTGGAGTCTTGAACATTCACCACTCATCTCCCCAAGCTTACCCTCCTGAAAAGATTAGTTTGCAGTGCACTGTTAGACCCACAGCTTTAGAGTGTCTGCGTTTGTCCATGCAATTATGAGTAGTGTCTGATATATGAAGGGTAAATATGTGTTGTGCAATCAGGGGAGCCTTGTAGTCTATGAATTCCCACAGTCAGAAAAGTTACCACTAGACACTGGTTAGATAAATGGGGAAAGACGCCGTCTCCGGTGCTAGATACCATACATCCAATCCCACTTATTCCCACCAGCTGCAAATTTATCATTCCCTTGCAGAATCAGAAAACAGGGACAGAATTGAGAGAACCTGAAGACAGAGTCCCATGCTAGCTCCACCCTTTAGAAGTCAGTATGGTTCTAAAAGCTATGTTTCATCCTTCAGTGTTTCTGTCCCCAAGACAAGGGAGTTACCAGGTACAACTACACCCAGTGGGAGAGCTAGGCTGGTATGTGCAGAATGGAAAAGGATCAGATGATAACACCCTGTCCGCAGAAGCTTTTGTGACAGGAGTCATCTGTAAGGGTGCAGCTGCTTTCCATTGCTCAGAGCATATATGGTTCAAACACGAAGAGGTAAGAAGTTTCGCCAACCATCTACCCATGTTTTCAGTCTGCTAGATGACTGATAAAAAGACCACCCCCAGCTCTAACTACAGTATATGGACAAGAAGGACTACCTTCTAAAAGTATATATAAAGAGACTCTGCTTAAGCTTTACCTTGCTTAGGTCAAGGGCTTCCCCAGGCTTTGGCAGAGAAGCTCAGTGTTTGTACAACCTTCCTTTTCACTAAAGGATTGTGTCCTAGCTCAGTTATCTTTAAAAACATAAGGCAATTGAAGGGGCACACTTCTACCCTTCTACCCTCACTCTCAATATCCTAGCAGGTGCCCACCATTACTGTATATAAGAGATAAAGAAAAATGATGAGGTTCTCATAATATATAAATCACATTATATCATGCAAGTTATATTATACCCATATCCAATATAGTTGGCATCCTGATGACATATTGAAAACAAAGAGTTTGATGAATATAAGGACAGTGTCCAAAAAGAAGCGCAAAGCAGCCAGGAATGTTGGCAGAAGACAACATGTTTATTGCTGTCTATTGATTCAAGCTGATTGTACACTTGGCAATCACTAGGCTCCTCTTCTACACTTCAGATCGGATTTTCCAAATTTAAGATTTTTGTGCAGCATCTTTATGTTTCACTCCTGCACTAGCTTTCTTCTTATGGAGAAGCATCCTAGATGGCATCTTCTACCTGACGGCAATGTTAGTGCTATAGGCTATAATTGTGGAGAACCCCACAAAGGTTCTGATACTGTTCATTGTAGTGTTTCCATAAACCTACATTACCTTACTTAATATAACACTTTTACCTAAGTTAGCAAACAGATCAGAGGTGCAAGTATTAGAAACCAAGATCAAAAATATTTTAATAAAAAAGAATAGAAGAAGATGACTGGCTCTGGCCTTGGCTCATCCTGAAAGCCACTTTTGAAGACTTTCTCTTCATCTGCCTTGCTCACTTTCAGAATGGCTTCCCAGTCCAGCTGCAGATGCTTTCCTGAGGCCTTCAGCCAGTCCTGTAGACACTCTTCAATCGCTACTCTTTCCTGATGACTCGGACAATCTTTCTCAGATAATCTTCCTCCAGACAAAACTCTTCCCAAATTCCTCACAAATGCCTCTCAATACCTCCTGCAATTTGTTCCTGACAGAACTTCCAAATAATCTGCTTTGGGATAGCCAACAATCCATCACATCCTCTCTGTTCAAACTTAGAAACAATAGGCATCTTTGATCCAACCATGCTGGATCAATTTGGTCCCATCTGACTGGAGAATAGCTAAACAGAAACATGGCCTCATATTCCTCCCTCAGTGCTATCAGTTATTGTCATTCCACCAGCACACTGCATCTACAGTGCACAAGTTTATAGTAAAAGGCACACATTACCCCATCTATTGTTAACCCCTTTAACTTTCTGTCACTGAAACAAAATATAACTATTGAACAGATAAAAATTTACTGCATAAAAAGCCAGTTTCTTCACACTCCTAGTCTCCTTATTTATCATCAAATTTACTGTTTTGTTCTATTCTATCTTTATGGCCATTTCAGCACTTGAATAACAGTGGGCCCAGAGTGTCTGCCCTATCTTTTATGGAGGCTCCTTTAACTACCATTTTAGAAGGCTTCAGGGAACGGTGATCTGGCTAAAACTGGGTGATTAATTAAAGGGCCTCTTTCCATCCTCCCTGCCAATAATTTGAGCACCAGGGACTTCTACTCACCCGAATTAAGCACTTTTTAGTACAGACACATGAGGTAGAATAATTGTACACTGTCATTGCAACTTTATTACTCAGACATGCCTCATACTTGGAAGAAATGGTCAACAAGCTATACCAATATATATCAGCACAGGACAGATTAATGAAAACTAGATATATTAGCAAAAGGGAATATGTTTATAGCACATACAACTGAAGCAAAACAGTTCCATTAACATAAGCCCTCAAGAGCAAAGAAGAAATTAAAAGCAAATTGTGTATACATTTTCTGGCCAAACAAATCAAAACTTTTTCTCCCACCCACACCCCAACCCCAACCCCACTCAGAAGCTTGCAATCAAAACACCTCTTGAAGACTGGCTAGACAAGTAACTCTAAACATGTGCCAATCTGCCTCCACTTTTAGAGAGAAAACTCCAGAGAACTCCAGCTTCTTTGAGCTTGGTGAATTTCCTATCATATCATCCACCAGTTCAATGATCAGAGGCAGGCCAAGTCAAGGGTCTATTTTACAGACATTTGTCTCTAAGACAGACTGTGATAGGTTTATATTTTTTTCAACTGCTAACAGAAGTCATGCAAATACATGTCCCAGAATCACATGTTCTACTGTTCTACTGAAATTCATGTAGAATCAACCATTTGCCTACAATCACAACTTGTACAAACTTGCACAAACTACCACCATGAGACATTGTGAAAGGCGGGATATAAAAGCTTTAAATAATTCTTTTTAAATAAATCACACTAGTGCCACTTAGCTTTCAGGTGCTAATTACAGCAAAACGTACAAATTGCAGTCTGTCCTACAAACAGAAATCTATGAGCAAGCTGAGCTTGCACCACAGAGAGTAAACAGCAAGTGCAAGTATGGGGATTCACATTAAACTTCAAATTAGAGTAAACATCAGGAAAACCTGAGTTCCTCAGCCTGTCCAAGGACCTGGAACTTGTGTAGATTGGACAGAAAGCATGAGCAGCCAAGAGAAATGTTCTGACTGCTGCCTTTTTGCACGTTGGATAGGCATTGTACCCACATTGTAGCACTGGAGTTAAGCTTCTGGTTACGGAAGACTTCTTCTCATGTGTATGGACCTGGAAATACCCTTGATTAGGCAGAAAGAGTGAGGAATCAACAAGAATACCCTGAGTGATGCCTCTGCACATGTTATCTGAATGTACAGTACATTGATTCTACATAGAGATGATAATGCTAGGGTTGGGGTTAAGCTTAATGTTAGGGTAAGGAAACCTGAGTCATGGTACATGTCCAAGGACCTGGAAATGGACTAGGCAAGCAAAGTTGAGCCATCAACAAGAATGCCCTCACTGCTGACTTTGTCCGTGTTGTCTGAATGTATATAGATTATATCTGTTTGTTAGTATTTGGGTAAACTTCATGTAAGGCTCAGGAGAATCTTGGTTCATGTGCATGGCAGTAACCTGCAAGTATTCTAGACTGAGCAAACAAAGGACGTGTCGAAAAGATTCCCCTGAGTTTTGCATTCCTGCATGTTGTCTGATCTATATGTATTATCCCTGAGGATTTCTGTTGGGGTAAAGCTTTTGGTTTGAGTTAGGAAAATATGGGTCTCTGTGCATGACCAGGGGCATGGGAACAGCCAATACTGAACAAACAGAGCCTGGTCAACAAGCCTCCCCCCACCTCCAATGCACACATTTACACGGATTATATCTGGTTGTTAGGTTTGAGGACAAGCTTCAGGTTAGCATTAGAGTGGGACATCCTGAGTCCCTTTGCTTGTACTGGGGCTGAGAAATAGCCTAGATGGGAAAAACAAAGTGAGCAGTCGAAGTATACCTCAAGTGCTGCGGGCCAAGTTTGTAGTGCTTTTACAAATTCAGTCTTCCTTTTCTAAGACAGACCACAAATTACACGCATTATAAACTTCTAATGATATTTGCACAAATAGGACCTGAAAAACATGTGCAAAATCAGACAATTTGTGTAAGATTCTAATTTGCGTACCTTACAATCTCAGCAAATTACAATTTATTTAAATTGGTTGATTCTGTACAATTCACACCAGAGCCACATGGCTTTCTGGTATATATATTTGTGCTAACCGCATTACAGTTTGAAAATATGCAAATTGTGTTCTGTCCTAGGGATAAAAATCAAAACACTAACTTAATTTGTACCACAGCAAGTCAGCACCAGCACAGAGCTGACAAACTAGAATCTGGAGGGACAAATTATAGAAAATCTGTTGGATTTTCACCCCCCTTTCCCCATCAGATTCTTCACACATCTCTAAGCAACATTTGCTTCCTCAAGCAAATATTGAACAAGTCAGGATACAAGATGACATAACTTTAAATCTGTGGTTGCATAATTGACCCTACCTTTTCTTTGAGATCCGCACATATTTCCTGTTGTTTTCTTCTATTATTAGCCAACATCATTTCTGTCTCATAAGCAGCAGAAGCTTCTGTCAGAGTCATTACTGCCTTCAGTAAAAAAGCTTTTCTAGCCTGGGCCCAGTTGAATAACAAAGCTCTCCAATGATTTCTAGTAAAATGGTAGTGGTCCCAAGCCCTTTCATGAGCAACCTAATAAAATCAAAATTAAAAGAAATTGTGGTTATTTAAACCCATACAATGTACCAAGTAAATCTTGTTCAAGGTTACTTTAAACAACCATTAAGAATGAAGCAATTAGCTAAAATGGAAATTATCTCCCTGATAATAGTGTGCCTGCAAGTGAATATAGGAGACAGCCTGCCCCTATTAGGAGTCTCAGATTCATGTAGAACTGGCTGGGCCAGCAGTTTGCTTCACTTATTACAATTTATTTATTTATGCCATCCTTTGCAAGAGCCTCAGGACGGCTTACACAAATCAAATTTATGTATCATTTTGCATAACAGGAATAGTCCCAAAATAAGTTACAAAGAGATAATAAAAACAAAAAATGCAAAAGATACAACATAAAAACCACACACATTTACAGAAATATCCATAGGGGTGGACAACTTCCAGGGGTTGGGAGGCTGTATTGCTCCCCCTTCATCTCTCTCTGCTCCAGAAACTCAGCATCATAGCAGTGTCAGGGAGAAAAAAAGTCCCATTTTAAAAGGAAAATTCAGATTTGGTAGTGAAACAGCAGGAACTAGCATTTTATTTTTTAGCCATAAGCCTCTTTTACCAATGCCACACCAAAAATTTCCGTAGCAACCTACTGATATTCCCTTTAAATATTTCAGCAAAGAGATAGCTTTTGTAAAAACAGCCAAGGGGAACACACATGGCTCATGGATTCAGTACTGCTTATGCCTGATCTAAAAGATCATTGAATGGATGAAACCATCCGCCATCCAGCACTGCAGTGAACAACAAAGATTCTCTTAATAAAAACGTCACATCCACAGGGTGCCAACGGAATGAGAAAAGGCATTATCCATTGAAAAAGCAAAGAGGAAAGACACAGCAATAGGTTATCATGGACAAGTCCAATTAGTCCCCCAAAATTATACACAACAGTGTCATTTCATAGGAAAAAAACAACAACACACAGGCATGTTTCAGCAGTAACTTAATGAACAGCCAGCTGGTGTTGGAAGTAGTCGTGGTGTGGGGGTTACATTCATGTTCATGATTTAAAAGTGGTATGATGCTATCCTGACTTGGGACCATGAGGAGGAGTTAGGCTACAGATCCAAATCCATATGCACTGTTTAATGCCACCTATAATTACAATCATAGGAACATGGCCCTGTTGGTAGTGGTGGATTTTTTGTTATTCCACAATTAGAAATATTCTCAGACCTATAGGTATAAAGTATCCATGTGAAATACTGAATGAACACTATACTTAACATCTGATATTTCTGAATTTGCAAAGAATTCAAGAGATGATGGTTGGGATCCAAAGAGAGCACAGAGCTTCAGAAACTCACTTTTCCTATGCAAGCCACAGTGCTGCCTAGAAGGTGGATAATCTTTTACTGGAGCTGCAACAGAATGCAATGCAAGGCTCTGCAGCAGCGCAAGGACACTGGGGAAGTCATAAGCTAAGTAAAGAAGTGCAGGTCAGGATCAGGCCTCATCCCATCCTATGTACAAGCAGAAAGTGCTTTAGCATACAAAACACAGGTGTATGTGGTGACGTTCAGCTCTGATTACATTCCTTCAAGTTGTGCTCTAGAGTGGCCTGGCAGCCGAAGCAGCTTTGCAGGTGAATCAAGTGAATGTCATTAATAAAGATGCATTTGGAGGCACTAAAATATGGAAGGCACAATGTTTCTAGCCTGGGGCACTGTTCAGTCTGGGGCCTTGAGAAATGGCCTGAGCACATACTATATATACTGGTCTGCAGATGTTTCACTGGACTCCAACCCTTAAATGTACAGGACTTTTCTGCTCCTGAATTTTTTTAAGAACACTGAAATGTCTGATTACTGCAGCCTCGGCAATTCATATATTGTTCATGTACACAATCACTATTCTGACCGTTTACAATTAAGCCATTGTCTCTGCAGTGAGCAAAATATTTACAGCAGGAAATCTAAGCTCTAACCTGCACTCTTGCTTTCATTTCAAATTGCCATTATGTGATTTTTACCTAACAGTTCTCAGCTAAAAATTTGTTATACAAGTCCTTCTGTGCTGACATGTGATATTTACAACATTTCCTAGTGCATTTCAGCTTCTAGCAGATCTCCAGAACATAGCAATATCAGTTCCCACTACGTGGGGCAGAATCAAAGGCAGCGTTCAGGATAAAGTTTCTTGGTTGTAAGAACAGCACCCATCTATTTTTGCTTTATGAATTCAAAATGTTCATAATCATTCACTAACAGACTTTTCTAATGGGTGCTCTTTATTTCTTTCATTGTGCTTTAACTGATTTCTTTTTATGTTACGCTTTAATTAAATCTTTGTTTTAATTGTCCCTGAAGCTTCTATAGGCCCTGAAGTCTATTTTGAAGAGTTGGAGGAAAGCCTGGGTTGAAGGGAGAGTTCTGTTTTGCAATTGGATTTCTGTTCAGGCAACACTTGATGTAGCCCTAAATTCCTAAACTTACAAAATAGATCTCTACTGAGAATGTTTCAGATCCATTGCTCATTACAATATTGAACTAAAAAGGTAATTTAGTTTGGCCACTTACAAGATTTTGCCTAGATTTGTAAGGTAGAAGTTTCTGTAGCATATCCAGGTAGAGAGTTCTTCTCCCTTGCATGTCACTTGGGTACTGACTAACGACAACCTGATAAACCCAAAGATCTTCTTTACTCCATTGGAAATTACTGTAAAGATGAAGAGAGATATCTTAAGACAACTGTAGCCTAGAACAAAATACAGGTCCAGATGAAAAGAATATGCTGACTTGACAGACAGCCTAATTCCTCATGAACCCTAATGTTGCAATGCTGGAACACTTTGATGTGAGATTCTTCGGTATAAATTGGTGTTGCACTAGCACATGGGTCTCTGCCTGTTAAATATATGCAATGTTTTAAGTGCAATGAGATCAATTTGACAGCATCCTTTTTAACTGCAAACTTTTCTCTTACATTATCATTTCTGCTTTTGCCCTTTGTTAGATCCAATTTGTTTGAATGGTATCAAAAAGCAGGGGCTCCTTTAAACAGTGTGATCTGTGGTTCCATTTTTCACTTTTAAAAAGAGTTATAGAAATATAAACTCTCAACACTGCTCATTATTTCACTGTAAAAATCGAATTGCAGGGGGAGGGGGGGAGAAGCTAAACCTCATATGGCCAAACTGGACTAAAACATACTAGCCGAGAACAAACATCAACATGACAAAGGAAACAGCCTGCAGCCAAACCAAACAAAGAATGTTGTACGTATGAAGGACTCTGGATACAAAAAGCATCCGCTTTCCCTTGTCATTCCAGGAATATGCTATGTGTTACACCCTTTCCAGGACTGACCTTTTGAAACAAGGCTGTTCCATAAAAAATAAAATAAAAGCATAACCCAACATAACATAAGCAACATTAACTTTATTTTTACTAAATATGATCACATTTAGATATGTGAGCCCTATTCAAACATGATGACACCTGTGGGGAACAACGCTCAGAGAAGTCAGTGGAAACAGAGTGTTCCTTGAACTCTGAAATTTGCCCATCCCAGATTTGTAAAAACTGAAAAATGTTTAAGGGACAAAACATGGTTACTGCCTGGAAAGCTAAAGCATGCATAAATAGACGACTTCATATCCAGCCACGACATGCAAGATGTTCAGCCAGTCCTATGCAGATTTACTCAGAAGTCCTGCTGCTTTCATTAGAACTTATTTTCAGGCAAGTTTACACAGGACTGCAGCTTGAGTTGCCATGAAGCAGAAGCAGAAAGATATAGAGACAGCATTGAGATTAACACAGAGTACAAGAACAAACATGATCATATGAAAGCAATTATGAACTTAGGAGGGTTGCCAAAACAGGGAACTGTCTGTATAAATCAGCTAAACTACTTGTTTCATCATACTATAGTTGAACTTTACTACACTTCTGTAAGTAGAAACCAAGAAATAACCTTTTTTTTTCATTTACATAGCAAGGTGTTGGAGCGGGTGGTGGAGGGACAACTCCAAGCTCTCTTGGATGAACCTGATTATCTGGACCCATTTCAGTACCGGGTACCGGTGGTGGAGGGACAACTCCAAGCTCTCTTGGATGAAACTGATTATCTGGACCCATTTCAGTACCGGGTACGGTACTGAATCTGCCTTGGTTGCCCTGTATGATGACCTGTGCAGGGAGAAGGACAGGGGGAGTGCGTCCCTGTTGGTTCTTCTGGACCTCTCAGCAGCTTTGTTTTTATTTGTTTTTCGGCGCCAGGCAAAGACCTTTTTATTCAAACGTCATTTTAATTGCTAATATTATTTGCTTATTTTATTCTTTGGCCAGGGCGACTTATTTTATATTGTTAATTCGTTTTATATTTTTAGTGTATTATATTTTAATTGATGTTTTGTGAGCCGCCCCGAGACTTCGGCAAATGGGGCAGCATAGACATTTTCTAAATAAATAAATAAATAAATAAATAAATATACCCAAGTCACAATTTGAGCAAATTATGTTAATATTTATTTATTTATTTATTTTAAACATTTTTATGCTGCCCCCATTGCAACAAAGCCTTGGGGCGGCTCACAACAAAAACAAAATACATAAATATAACAATTATACAAGTAAAAATATTAAAACCCGGTGCATTAAAACTTGGCTTAAAAGATTTAAAATCCTATCAATACAAATAAATTAACAATTAAAATTAATTTAATACTGTGCACCTGAAGGGAGGCAAATATTCAGTGACTATTACAGGTAACATTCCTCTATTTGCTCTTTGCAGCTCTGTTTTTAAAATATATTTATTACATTTTTAGCCCACCCTAATAGCTACAAGGCGCGCGCGCGCGCGTGCGCTCTCTCTCTCTCTCTCTCTGTGTAGGCCTTTTCATTACATGCATGACCCCTAAGGTTGTGTGTTCCTCCCTCTTCCTCGCACTTCTGCAAGAAGGCTGCAAGTTTTTACTTCCACTTACAACTAACCAGGTTCCCCTGTTAAACTCCAGCTTAATTTAAACTATGGTTAGTAAACATACCAAAATGATAAAAGGTATTTTGATCCTGGTTTGTTTAAACTTAACTAGTTCCTCCAAAATTCAAACATAACAGGGAACCCTCAGTTAATATCAAAGTTAAAACAAGAGTTTCTACTCTCATTGTGACTATGGCAGAGCAGGAGAATACTGAAGCCTAATACTCATACAGACTTGTGTATATAAAGCTAAACCATAGCTTAGTATTGTGTATGAATTGGCTCTTTATAATGTAGTTCACTGAATGCTTTTCAGGAAGCTAAAGTGCTTCTGTGATAAAAATTTAACACATTTTTCTGTGCCGTGCACAACAGAACACCAGATATCCAAAGAGGCTTCGGATCAGAGAGTTGACAACAAAAATAAACACAATGCTGTCAGTTTTCTGGCAATTAGGTTACCATAAACTAAGTTCTGCAATGTGCAATTGTCATTATTCAATATCCCATAAGCATTTGTAATTTGTCAGATATTAAATCTGGAAAAATGAAATTGTTGCAACAGCTTTAAATTTGTATAGTATATGTACTAGTGCTCCTAACTTTCTCTGTAGTGTAGTACATCAAAGGAGGATACAGTGATATACATAAAAAACAATTATCCCTAATTCAGGATACTTTCTATAATGCTTTTATTTCAAGCCAAGATTTTGAAGCCAGATCTTCATCTAAGAACAAAAAGATAAATATGGTAAGGGGGTGACTATTCTTCATTACAGGTCCAACAAAAGGGATTAAGAAACAAACCATCTTCCCTATTTTAAGCATGAGATGGCACTCAGACAGAAAACAAGAACATTTACTATAACTTTATATTGAGAAATATATCCTCATAGCCTATGGTCTTGGTGTTAGCTTGATGAACAGAATGCCTACTAAGATTAGGACCAATTCTTCACCAGCAGATTCCATTAAGAAGGGAACGTGTAGCCCTCACTCCCTTTCCAGCATTCATAGCTCTTCTCTGCCTATGACCTTATGAGTGTATCATCGCTGAGACGCTTTCCCTCTGCAAAGGTTTGGCAATTCATTGCTGCTGTCACCCTGTAGAGCTTGATACTGTGCACAGCTGTCTGGTGTTTTGCTACTGATGGGCAATTTAAGAATGCATTTGTGGCTTATTGGTCTTCTTGCAAAGAAACTTGTTACAACAGTGATACTGTCTTAATTTTTGAGAGCTAACAAATGAAATCCTGGAGAATGGGAAACTGAGAGGTGACTAAAGGGGTTAGTCAATTAGAACACAAAGTTGAAACCATTAGAGCAGAGCAGCTTCTTAATAATAGAAAGTTTATGTTTTGTTCACACAGCCAGCTAAGACACAGCCCAGCCCCCTTTGCCCCAAGTGCATTTGTTTCGCAAAGTATTAAACTTACAAAGAGAACAGAGACAAGTGAAAGTTGCCATGGGCCAAGGAAAACCTCAAGACAACAAAATTCAATCCATCCAGAGACAGACTAAAACTAAAGTCCCTGCAGGAGTCTTTTCAGGACTTCAGCCAGCACTTCAACAGTAGGCTAGAGAGGCACAAAAGATACAGATGACTGGGCAAGAGCTGTAGTGAAGCAGTAGAGCAAGCACTTTCATGAAGACAATCCCACATTCGGTCCCCAGGGAGGCCTGGGAAAGTTCTCCATAGAACCCAGGAGAGCTGCTGCTGGTCCATTCAGACCAGGAGAAGACATTCTGGACCCTCTGGATATTTGGGACTTTAACTCCTGTAATCCCAGCACATTGATCATTCTGCCAAGGGTTGATGGGGGTTGTACTCCAAAACATCTAGAAAGCATCAAATTGCTACCTCTGGAATAGACAATAACGAGTTATTTGGATCAACGGTATGAATTGGTATGAGACAGCTTCTTAAATGGGCTGGCTCAAAAGCATCTAAACAAAAAAAGCACTTTAGGAACTCAGAGCATACCAAATGTGAAATAGAAGGGACAGCTCCCTCATAAGAAACACAAGTGAGTTAATCAGGACAGCAACATAGTTGTTTAACTGTCTAAGCCTGTGTTTCTCTAAAGGCATTTAAATAAATGGAATAGCCAGTTAGGCTGGCCAATATGGTTTCAGGGGAATAAATACATGGAAGCATGAAAAAGGTGCACGTAACTAAATTAAAGCTAGTGGATTAATGCTAAATAACTGCTTTCAGGCACTGGAGGATGAGTGTGGCAAGTGACCTTAAGGAAAAAAGCAGTCCAAGATGGGAGTTTTTTAAAAAGGGATTTTAAAGGTACAATTACAAACAAACCCATTAAAAAAGATAGTAAACAACAGAAAAAAACAATGTGGCTCCACAAAAAGCTTTGAGTTAAGCTAAAAACAAAAAGGACATGTAAAGGAGGTAGAAGGAAGGCCTAGTTGCAAAAGAAGAGTGCAGGCAGGTGGTACAGAAGTGCAGGAATGACATCAGGAAGGCTAAAACTGAGAATGAGATAAGGCTACCAAGGGAGGCTAAAAACAACAGCAACAAGCTTTTTTTAGGTACATGCACAGTAAATGAAAAAATAGTGGCTCGACTCCTCAATGAGGAGCACATATTGGTAACAGACAATAAAGCAAAGCAGGTCTATGGACCACCACCACCCAGCAGAAATGAAATACAATCCAAAGAGTCAGGACTGAAGCTGAAAATGACTAAACAAATGCTCAAACAAACCTAA